TGAGTTGCAAGTTTGATTTGCGTTGATACAGAAGTGTTTCTCGAGAAAACATGGAAAATGTTAAAAGTATGCAGAGAGTTAGATAAACGGACGGACAGACTCCTGACGCTATGTGATCCAAAAAGCTCAAATAAGGAATTGTTTAGTTTTGTGTGGGTTATTGGGGTGTAAATCACAAAGGCTTATCACGTAATCACATTTCAAATTTTTCTTCATGTTTCTTAATGGGACACTAGATGTTTCTCCCTGCCCTAGCCTATATTGTTCTATCCTTACTTATTTCTTTGATGCTCTACAGTCTCATTGTTTCTCCCTGTATACTTCTACGCATGACTATACACAAATTTACATTCAAAACAATTTCACAGGTGACTCACTAGAAAAGCACAGCAAATGTCAATATTTCTAAATAAGGGAATTACTTACACATCCTCTCTCAACAAGTTGTTTGGCACCAACGAATTTCTTCGCTCTCAAAAGGGCGTAGAAAACCAAATTAACTCCTGAATACTCATTTTGCAGTTTAAGTTTTCCACCTAAAATTGATTTTGAAGACAAGAGAGTTAGAGAAAATCATGCATATTTCAAAAGCTCTGATAGATCTAGATAAAACCAAATAACTACTATGATCCTGCTTAAATTAAAAAAAACTAATTTTGCCACATACAAATCAATAAACCTTTTATTGCAGGAGGAAAACTAGAAGATTTCATTTCTCTTCTAAGGTCTCTCCATAGTTTTTTGCTAATATCTTCTTCCATATTCTGCAAACACAGAAAAATGGTGCATGATCTTAGATTACAAAAAAATCCCTTTTTCCAAATCACATCTCTTTAGAGAATAAAAAGTATTGTTTTTTATATATTTTTTAGTTTAACATTTTGTAACAGTGTTCTGTTGACAAATGAGGAGGGGGGATGTGTTGATTGAGTTACAATTAATATAGTACCAACCTTGGCTGTTTCACTGGGCAGAAATAAGAGTAACGCAATTCAAAAAGTATTTCATTCGTTCTAAATTTAAGTTTGCATACCAAGTTTCTCCCAATCTAAGAAAAGGTAAATTTATTTCATTTTATATGTAGCATTCTCCTCATATTACAGACCTGGAGCCGTGCTACTACCCCACATGCCACTCGCTGCACGAATCGTACGCAAATGCTACAAGCTTTGCACAAAACGCTGCACGGTTAACAAGAAACGCTACACGGTTTGCAAGAAACTGAAATTGCAAATATTTACACGCTTTTTTGGGATAGTAGCACGTCTCAGGGTCTTCACATATACTCCATGCTCACCCTTCCAAAAATGTAATGCAATGAAGTTTGATCAAATATGTCTTCCACAGTCATCCTCACAAACTGTCCTGGGAAAATCCATTGCCCCCTTTTCAACAGCAGACAAGATAGGTATTTAACGTATTGAAGCATTTTCATCATCTGAGTAGTAAAAAAAATATGATTTCAAAAAGCGTATGTTTATCTGCTCAACACTTATTGATGTAATATGCCATTTTTGTGAATGACATTTAAAAAATGCTGATTAGAACTTTATTGTTTAACAACAGAATTCAAAATGTAAATAAATAGGGTTCACAAGCGTAGATGTAGTATCAGGTGTTTTAGTGTTAATCTGTTTTGCTTTTTGAATTGATCTTTTTAACCGTCTCTTTGAACTGAGGAATGAATGCGTCCCAAATATTTGACGTTTTGTTATTTTTCTGTAGGTGTTTTAGTGCTTTTTTCAACTGTAATCTTTATCTACTTCATATTGTAGATAGTTCTGTTTATTATGAATTTCGGATTTAAGAGATTGATATTATGTTTCTTTGTTTATTGTGTATACTTCAGTGAAGGTAATTAAAAGTATTTCCAAGTTATTACTCACCAAACCATTGTTTTGTAATTTGTTGTGCAGTCCTGTTACTTTTCTCACATGAAATATATGCATAGCAACTGTAACAAAAATTATATATGAATGTTAAATAAAGATGTAATTAAAGATGGGCAATCATAATTGGTACGATAAATTACCTCCAACTAGAATCAAGGGAATAACATTATCAAGTTTCACTTCTTTTGTCTTGAAAAACCATTGTCCATATTCCAGATTGTCTCTTGACAAATCCTTTTTATTCCATTGCTTTACTTCCCATGGCCTAGAAGTGTTGACAATGTATGTCTCTATCTTTGAATCATCTTGCTTCTCTTGCTTTGCTCTTATTTTATCGTTTGATAATGATTTATTCTTTCTTCTGTCATCGCTTACAGTTTCCTTCGACGACCAAGCGACCCACGTGAAATCAGAAATCTGCATGCATAATTGTATAAAAAATTTATCTAAGTGTAATAACCAATTACAACAAATTGACAGATGGAAATTGATTGTTTTCTCATATCTATATTTTTATATTAACTCTTCATATTTTCTACAAATTTATGTACAATAATGTCTTTTTATATATATATATATATTAGTATCATGAATTAGCATCAAATTAAAGTTGTCTAAATGGGGACTTATTGATAGTGCTCAAAACTTCTTCAAAATTGATCTAATAAAGGCCCTTTCTCAGCGACAAAATATTCGTGCGACCGAAGAATTTTGTTTAGGATCGAAAACTGTTGCGAAAAAAATCGCACATGAAAAAAGTGGTCTTACAAAATTTGCACGAGCTAAAGCGACTGTGGTGAATCAAATCTTTCTATATATCTTGTGTCTATATGCGACTGTTGTAGAATGAAAGCGAGTGTTGTAATATAATGCGATAGGATTGCACGACTGATCAGGTAATCGGACGATTGAATGTGCGACAATACGTTTGGACGTGCAGTGCCCGTGCGCTCATGTATTCCATAGTACGAATGTACGTGCAAGTCAGAGGGCCGGGTGTATACATACCACCCGTTTCCGTCGCTCTTCAATTGACATAATTAAGCTGCTTCTAATTACAGGTATATATACCTGTTGCAAAGAATGGCAATTGAAAGTGATAAATCAAGCAATGATAGTAAAACGTTGCACGATTACATGATATGGTGAGCAACAGTCTCATGGTCACAAAACACACGTAAAGACAGCTGCAATTCATATTACGATCTTTAAAAATCGTACATCACTCTTACGAGTACATAAAATGTTGTAAGACGTTCGTACTAATTTTCGTGCGTTGAATTGTAATAATTTGGATCTCATTTGGTCGCATCCGAATAGTGTGCATTTTGACTATTTTGAAGAGACTTGATACAACCAGTGAAAAAAACATATGCAATGAATGAGGGACATCGTGCAACGTATGCGAGAGCTAGTGAGAAACTTATATTTTCCGTCACCAAAGTGTTGTAAAGTGCTCGTGATCCAATTGTGAAATGGCCTCAAGAGAACCTTTCTGGGAGGAGGGTTAGCAAATTATATTTAAAAAATAGAAAATTAATACGACTGGTCATGATTATTTATTCCTGTTTCTCTCGTTGCATTCGCCTGAGACTTCAACAAATGTAAGTAAGTTAGCTGAAATTGACATCTTGATATGTTGTATCATTGAATCACGTAATTATAACAAATATTGCTCTTTTTAAATCAATACCATCTTTCATCCACTTCTACAGCCCAATATTTAATTGCCTCTCTAGCTCGGTGATTCTTGTCCTCCTCGAGTAAATAAATTGCCATATTGACCATAACAAATACGATATTTTCATAACATAGTTGAGTGAAAACTATGATGATTACCTTAGCTGATACTATTGGTATTATTTCCGTTCTGGCTTCTTCGAGAGAAGTTTCATCCAACGTAAAACTTTCTTTTGACGTTAAGATCACTGGCATGACCTCTTCTCCAAGATAGCCTTAAAAGTATTAAACTATATAATAGATGCATTCCCTTTTTTTCGAATCATTTTTAAGCAAAAGACATAGGATGAAACTTACGCTTAGCCATTTCTGTGAAGTATTTTAGGTCTGCCTTTTCTTTCCCTTGCATTATTTTAAAGATGGTAAAGCCATTTTCAAGCAACTTCTGAATGATAATTAAAAAATGTGAATGTTTTACATTTCTTCGATTCTCCTGTCATACATTGAGATAAACAATTCCAAGACTCATAGACAGAGAGATAAAAACAAAGGAAGAAAAGGAATAAAGAGAAAGGATTTTTAGTAAAGAGAAAAAGAGAGTAGAGTGAGAGAGAAAGAATAAAGAAAAAGTAATTATGATAAAGAGAGAAATACAAAAAAAAGGAAGAGAGAGACATTGGGGGAAATTAAAGGGACAGAAGAAATATGGAGAAAAATAAACTTACTTCAATAGTTTGTTTAGTTGTTGAATGGTGTACTCCACAGCTTGTGTCAATGTCCTGATCATTGTTCCATAATAAGATCTTTTGACAAGCTAAATAACAGGGCACAGATGAATTCCCTGCATTAAGAAATATTCTTTATGAAACAATTGTGCGACTGACTCTCAAATCAAATGGATTTAAATGAGATAAATGTAAGTTTGAGGAACGTACATCAAAAAGTAATTTGAGCATTATGAAATTATTTGTAAGAAGATATTGTTGTATGTATTGCTTAAAATAGTATACATCTACTTCCTTTGTTTCCCCTATTAGTTTTTTTGTGTAGAGCATACACAAGACTGTGTCGCCTTATGATGAATAAAAAACAACAGTAAAGAAAATTCAGCAAATACAAAAATATACATCCATTTGTATGATTTTGAACTAAAATAGCTTTTGGCAAGTGTTGAATACTTTTTAACTTTTTCAACTTAGTATTTCAAAAAGTAAATCAACGAGCTGTAACCAAAAATTATTTTAGACTGTACCAGTAATATGGAGTATTTTACTCCGTGTATTTTACACCGTGGGGAGGTCAAACTCGTGAGCTGTATTGTACATACTTATAATTTAATGCATATATTTGTCGATGAATTAATTCTACGAATTCAATAAAAGACTCCGGGATTTTTAACCTCTGATGTTCCTTATGCCTTACTTACTAGAAAAGGATATGATATCTCCAAGGTATTCTTCCTTGTCATCCATTAGTATAAAGAAAAGAGATGGATTAAAGGATGTTTCCCAACTCGTTGATGCATCTCCATGCCACAAATGAATCTGTATTTCTGTTACGTCAATCTATTTAAATACATGTATACATATTTTTGTGCACGAAAGAAATAAAATCTTATCTGATAATACACCAAACAGCTTATAAATCAAAGTTATTTATTGTGCTATTTCTTACTCACACATTTCATTGAATATATTACCTTTTTTGAAACACAGTCTTTCTTAAAACTTGGTATGCAACTATCTTACATCAAACTTTCTTTTAAAAATTGTTTTGATTTTTCTCTTGTTTGTTTTTATTTTTGTTTTTTTTTTTTAATAATATAACTTTTTCATTTTTCTTTGAATTTAATTAGTACCAAAGTTCTTCAAAAAGTGACGCGTTTTTCAAAATACAATCTATTCAACCCCGTCCTACCACTAAAACCTTGACCCTCGTTTCATGAAATTCACTTTTTTAGAGGAGGTATCCTCGTTTATTGTAAATAACTATTTAATATTTTTAGGTTACCTGCGCTCACTCAGATTACCTTAAAAGATACAAAAACTGGCTATATTGCATTTAATTTTAACTACAGATACGTACGCGTACAAGAAATCGATATCAAATAAACCAATGGACCTTTGACTTATACGGAAATACCCGGGTTGATGTGACATAACTTAACTGAATTCCACTACGTACAAAAAAGATCCTTCACTGCTTAAAGGCCCTGAGTGCCAAGCATAAGACACAATTTGTAGCCCTCCACCGGCAAGTGGCGGAGTCCCCATACGAATAAAAAATTCTCGAGAGGGACGTTAAACAACATACAAACAATCAATCCAGTACCTTTTCTCCATGTCTGATCTTCGCTTCAATATACTCTGTTCCATCTTAGAATTAAAAAAAGAGAGAGAATGGCAAAGTTAACAACTCATACTTAACAATTGCGCATCTTACTAAGTTTAATTCAACGAAATATTTTATCTACGAAAATGTATTAATGAAAAAAAAATAATTATACCTTGTCCTAAATTTTGGAGGTGATCTTGATAATAAAACTGATTTGCTTTGTCCCATTCATCTTCTCTCTTAATTTTCAAATCGCAGATATCCAGCAGATAAATATATCCATCTGCGCTTTGCACTTGAACAGGAATTAAGAGCTCCCTTTTTTGGAATTCTCTAGCTGTTTTTGTGCTCTCTATATTAATTTCAGCGACAAAATAATGGTTTGCATATGAAAAAATTACATAAAACAACGTTTTATTCAATTGTTGCTTATAATTTGTTTATTTATTAGCAGGGTTGCCATAATTAAAAGAAAGTGAGATATGTGGCTTCTTTTTCCGAAATATATACTTCGATACGATCTTTTTTTTATCTATGTATATTTGTTATATAAATTTTGTACATATATATGACCTGAGTTGCCTTTATTCATTCCTAGATAAGGCCACAGGCAATTTCCTTGTTTTGGTTTAATGTGAATTTTTTCCCCGAATAGCTTTATTCTAGTTTCTTTACGCTCCATTTCCGTATCCGTCAGCTTGCCACTGAAAGTAACGATTTTTTTCTTTTAAATCTTATCTCAATTTATCTAAGACTCGGATGGAAAAGCTACTTGTTGTTAGCATTATTATCATTGAAAATAAAATGTTTGTACACAAATATTTTGTGTTGAAAAAAATGCTTACGACATTTGACCACAATGCCATTCTGATGAAACACTTGTCGATCTGATGTTGCAAAATGTGCAAAAGTAATTATCGCCGATACCCTTCCAACGTATTCCGTTTAAATCTTTAGAGCATCCTGTGCACGTTGTGTTACTCACAATCCCTGCAATTGAATTATACATATAAAAGGATTATAATTGTATATAAAAGTAATCAATGGCGTTTTGTTTCTCAAAAAGTACCTTTTTAGTTCTTTTCTTTTTCTTGATTTAATTAAGGAATGAAGCTTATTTCAACTTATATTATACGATATAACATAACTTGGGACAGTTTACGCTTACAAACCGCAAAACGGTTTATATTCGCGGTTTGTAAAAAAGCGTAAACTGTCCAAGTTATGTTATATCGCTTCATTCCTTTTTTAATTAATTTCAATGTAGACAATGAGACAATGTTCCCACCGGAAAAAGGCTTTAAATTACCATATTTTTAAAAGTAACGTCAAGAGGAGTAATATGTTTCGACGTAACTCATTGTGACGTAGGCAAATTATGTTATACAAAATAATGTTGTTCCTTAGAATGATTCAGCCAGTGAAATTTCTTGATACAAGTGAAATCAAATTATTTACATGAGAATGATATGGAAATTACGAACAATATTCAATCTCAACATCCATTAAACAAATATAGAAAATAAGAGCAGAGCAAACACGGACCTCCGAAACATCAGAGGTGGGATCAGGTGCCATGGAGGAGTGAGCATCCCCTGCCGACCGGTCACACCCGCCGTGTGCTCGTTGTCATAATCAGGAAATAACGGAAAAAATCCATGGTCAATTCAGTGTATAAATAATGGACTAACAATTGGTATGAAAAACGTCAGTCAGCATTTCATTCAATGATAGATTGTATTTGCTGACGAGGTCTTTGTATCGACCATAGAATTTACGAAATGATGAATTTAAACGAGACTGTTGATATTCTTGTTTCATCAACTTGCTTGTCAATAATTTACCTCGTTTAAGAAATTGTTCATACGTAGAGCTTGCTCTTGCGTATCGAATCAACTGACATATTAGGAGTTTTAGTGACTTCCAAAATGCAATCAAATGTGTAAACGATGTCGCATTTACTTATTTGATTAGGGAGCAATTACATTAAATAAAGAAATTTAGGAGTGTTTCTGCATTATATCAAATATTGAGGTTATGATCGAGTAAATGTCGCCAGAATGACTTCTTAGTGCTAGATCCATTATGACGTCATAATATCTCTGCTCTGCCTCCGTACTTTATGGCATTTATATATTTTTTTAGAAATAAGGTATTTTATTGGAATTCAATTTGAAATATTATAAAAAAAAATTTGATACATATATTAAATGTAATATGATTTTAATGAAGAGATCATGGACATTACTTTTTTGAAAGGCTTTAGGCAATCTGGATGTATTTTATTTTTTGTTCAATATGAAAAAAAAAAAACATGTGCACAATTGTTTTTTTTCATTTGAAATGACAGCATAAAATATGATTTTTCATCTTGTCAATTTATAAATTATCCCCGATACACCTTATTTGACTATGCTAAAGATATAAAGCATCATTTAATGAATTTATTTCTCAAATTTGATAAATATTTAGATATCTTTTATTCACTAGATCTTGATCTTAACAAGAAATATTTGTCCAGTAACCAAAATGAATTAATTGATATTTGCTTAGGATATTCGGTAACAAAGCATCAAAAAGACCTGTCACATTTTGAACTGCGTCAATCAATTTTAAAGTAGGTCCTTTTATCATTTTCATATAACATCTGTACAAAATCCTATTTTGTACAAACTTGTAAAAGGACATAATTAATGAACCCTCAATAGATCTCAAACAATCAAAATTACAAATCTAACAAAAGGACTAGGGGCTCGTCTATGCAATTTTGATAGGAAAAACAGAAATCAGTTCAGTATTAAAAAGTTTAAATGCTATAATTATTTGGAAAGGTTAACTTTGTACAATCTAAAAGATACATTTTTTGATGTTTATAAAATTATTTTTTACTGATATATCAACTATATTCCTTTGTATAACTGTGATTCTCTGATACGAACTCTCTTATCTCCTGGTCTCCATAAGATTTAAACTATTATGACTTGAATCTACACTTTCTGGAGATTGTTTACATCAATACGTCTAGTTATGACTGCATTGTTCAATTTACCCCAGTTTAAAACATTAAATCCCATTCGGCCCTTAAAAGGTCATTTTTGAACTAATTTGAACCTTCACTTAGTAATGATGCTTCCACAAATATCATAAAACTTAACTCAATATCAGTTAAATCCGGTAATGGAGACAGATAGAAATATGACCCTGGAAACATAACTCACATGCAAATGTACATAATATCATTTATCACATCCATTATGCGTTGATGTTTTACTCTTCCTTTTCCACCCTCCCTTACATATGTATCCATTGAATTTCAGCATCAATTTCGGTCTCAGCACAAATTCATCATTCAACTTACCATCAAAAGCCGAAAATAAGAATATGATCCGGGTAAATATCCATATCACCCTCTGTTAGAATTCACATGACATACACAGCTATATAAACAATATTCTATTCTCAGGTACGTTGATATGGTAGCTCTTACTGATTTAGATCTTTCTTACATAGACTGTTACTAAAATATTCTTTCTTTTCAGATGTAATCTGACCAACAGACCTATTCGATCTGTTAGTACATTAGGCTTTCAATTACATGTATATTCAGTTCTCACCGGCATCAAATAATTTCAAAGGACCTTCTTCTCCAGGTATACAATACTGTTCTTCTTCTGGGTTATTGTTGTCACTTCCGTCCCATTTGATCTGCAACTCCAGCTTAAACGTAAAGTAGAATCTCTGTAATTGAACTGCATAATCAATTTTTATATCTTATTAAATATATGTATCTAATGTTATGTATGAACAAAATATATTTATGATCTAGTAAAATTTATTACCTGTGAAATTATCTAAATTACATTAAGTTTAGGAATTTTGAAACAGATATGCATGCAATTAAACCTTCGCAGCTTGGTTTAGGACAACCAAAGGTAGATCAGACTATGCATAGCTTCGGCCCGGAAGTCGATTATGACATCACAGTGAAACTGCACAAATGAACTTAGGCGAATAAATAATATTTTCATACACTTTTGCATACAGTGATTTCTCTTAATTATTGTAAACATAAATTCATAAGTAATTAATATTGTCATTACAACACTATTTGATTGTAAAATTAAAGCCAGTTTGATCTTGCTGTACGACGTCAGAGACTAGTTTGAAACACAGTTTTTCTTCACTTGAGGCGCAGATCAAGCTATAATTGCAACTTAAAAATGTAAAAATTTAAAACAAAATAAGCGGATCTGACCAAAATTGAGTCATTTTTTAATGCATTAATAATCATTTCACAGTATTATTAAATTAATGAGAAATATATCTCTTATAGAGCAGCAGTCATGCACTTTTATACACAAACGTACTACAACCACATGAACACCCACTCGAAAATCTCAAAATTAAGTTCAATGATATCTGCTTAACTATGAATTATGGTATTTTGTACACACGTAGCTTCTGTTTCTACTTTTTTGAAAAGTGTTCGGAGCAACTTGTGCGCTGTTGATTTTTTTTTCTCTACTTTTACGTTATTTCAATGCATATAGTGTAAATGCAAGAAATTTTTAAATAAACGGCTACATTTGATGCAATTACCGTGCATTGGGAAGTAGCTGTCAGCACTTTTCGGGTTTAAAAAATTATCTTAAAGAAAACACAATCAATTTCTTGTTAAAAAATTATCCGTATATCAATGAACTTTTACAATCTTTGTATCCGTTCATAGTTTTTTTCTAATTTTAACAATGTCACGTGACATACAGCTGATGTACGTAAAGTCACTTTGGCCGAACCCGGTGGAGACTCCATGCATACATATGCATTAGTACAATTCCTATTAAGTTTAAACTCATTTTAATAAATAAAGATATAGAAATTATATTGATTATCTCGTTATATTTTAAGTCATATTTTATATGGGCACGTTTCTTTTCTATTTCTATTTACAAATGAAACAAGAATTAAATATATGCAACTATACAACATGTACGTATTTAAATACACTGTGTATGTTCTCACTTTATCATCATGCTCCTTATATTTCACTAGCGTTCCAACAATGTATGTCTCTTTTTCCGTATTTTCTTTTGTCGGAAGCTCCATCATCACCCTTATACCTGGGATGTTTCTAACCATATCTGAAACAATTATTAATTCATTCATTATTTGCTCACAGCATTTCAAACGGATTTTTCCGTTTTAATACCGTATTGACTAGGAGCACACGATGGATGTCACAAGTCAGCATTCCTGCATGGAATTTAAATCCACTCCTGGGGTTTTGGAGGTCTGTGTTTATGATCTATATTGTTTAATGGACTTTCAGCTTAAATATTATTCGCCATCTCCATATCTTACAATTAAAACAGGCCCAAAATGTGATAGAATAGAGAAAATTAACATGTACATTATAGTTTTCCATGCCTATCAATACCTGGTCAACAGGATCGCGATGCAAACTCAAAAAGTGCATGAATGTATTTTTTAATTTAAATTATAAATAAAGGTTCCATGGAATTTTGAGTATGTACAAATTATTCCTCCTTCTTGATATATTTAATATTGAAAAGAATTCCTGTAGTTTCACAGGAAATATCTAAATTTTCTGTTGTTAATATTTCAGTTAGCAGTAGAGTAAAGATACAGTGAATTATTCGATGGATACTAATATGAATCGTTGTTTGTAGTTTTATTTTAATGCTAACTATACTAGAATTGTAATAATTTATCAACATTTTTACCAGCAGTCAATGAAGGCATATGATGCATTTTTAGGGTGATATCGTCTGCAATCAGTTCTTCTTCCGTATCAAGTTCAAATGGATAATTTTTCCCCTCTAATTCATACCAAGATACCCTTCCCTTCCAAAACTTCATGACTTTACCTAATGAAAACAGTGCGCTTTACATTTTTAAAAAAATCAATATGATAAAATCATTTAAATATTCAAAAAATGTAAATTACATTTCGAATTTTAAATTTATAAATGTTAAATGAGCCATGGGAAAAAAATTGATTATAAATTTATATGAAAAGAAAAGCAAAAACAAAAACAAACAAACAATTGTAATTGATTAATGATTAATTGAAAAGTGAAAAAAAATATTTAAGGAATCACTGTCTAGTTTTGAGAGTATGCCAGGGAATCAACAATAGTGGGAAACATGGGATAATTTGCATAACGGGCGAAGACCGTTATGCTAAAATTATCCCATGTTTCCCAATATTGTTGATTCCCTGGTATACTCTCAAAATTAAATAGTGATTTCTTATATTTTCATTTTATTGTGAAGTAAAATTGTAGACTTAGACATTAAGAATGTAGACTTATCAATTTAAATTACACGAGTACTTCCATGCCTGTAGAATTATCAAGAATATACTCCCAAAACTTTCAAAGAGTTATCACAGAGAAAAAAAAGTAGAAATGGAAATATTGTAATAATCGAATTATTGATTAAACTTCCTATAGTTTATGAAAAGAAGGTTATAACATACCCTTCATATTTGTGGTCATAGCAGTAACATTACAGTCTTTTGTTATTCTGCACATTTCTTTTCTTTTACCATTTTCCTCACTATTAGATCGTTTGGGCATAAAAGGTCTAAATAAGCAAAATATAAAAAGATAGTATTTTATTGATTTAGTATCAAAGAGATGTTTGTATGGATTACATAGTACAACAGATACCCTTTGGATCCTGACGTCATTATTCGTCTAAAGATGTGATCTCTATTGTGTTTATCCGCCATGTAACATTTTGTACAGAGATTAATGTACGGACACGACACACAATGCCATCTGATTCCTCGCAGGGGATTTTCCTTGCAACCATCACATTCTATGTCCTCATGGGTTTCATCTATATATAAAACAACATTTTAACCGAGGGAGTGCATTATGCAACTGTAGAAATTAAAAAAAACATCCGTTTCAAGGACACTATATGCAAAATAATCCAACCACTATCATATCTAAGATTACAATTATTGTTCTTGTATTCAGTATGAAGAAATTCTTTTCATACCTCAGGGTAGGTTTATATGGAAAGACGTTATATGATAAAGTATAAATGGATAATTATGTTTTTTATATATATATATATATATATATAATTGTGAAATATACAATTTACATCCGTGTGTAGTATATTTCTTGGGTAGAAAATTATGTGTAATACATTCAATCAAGGAATCACATAATCTTATATTTATACCATTTAAAACAATGGAATGCGGTTTTTCTTTAGAAGACTGTGAGTTAAAGGTTCATTTATAAAGTAAATAATTCACATACCAATATCAAACAATAGAAGTTTCTCTCTGTCGTATTCCAGTTCCTCTACACCGTTATCCCAGTATTCTTTCTCTATAATGCCTTTTCCTCTATTTGGATGATCTTGAAATTATTTTTTGACAATATAAATTGGCATTTGTGGTACAATTTTTCAAAAGAAAATGTTCTATAGATTGATTTGAAAACATAAACATAAACAGGTGTCTCCATATGAGTAAAACCATTCTCGAGAGGGACTTTATACAACACGCAAACAATCAAATAATCACGAATTCGATTCAAGTATTGATAAAAAAAAATAATACCATCAAAAATCATCTTGATTACTGAAATTTTACGAGCTCATGTTTGTCACAATAAAAACATGATGAAACTGAAAATTAATTTCTAGGGTGAGTGTTTGTTCTTTATAGAGAGAACAAACAATTTCTGTCTGTCATCTGCATCATCTTATTTTCTTCTCATTTTGGTGTCTTAAATAAGTAATCATATTCATTTCAATGATCTTAAAGGAGATTTTAAGCACCGCCTTCAAAAATCCTTGGTCTTGGCAGCCCTGTCAATCAAGTGCATGGAGGTCCATCATTGGATGCTGGAACTTGATTGACATTTACTTACTAATCCTTGTGTATACGCTGTACACCTTGTGGGGACCATCAAATTAACTTTTAATCCTTGTATGTTTACCAAACAATGGTATTAAGAAATTGCATCACTATGAAAACTGTTAGATTGATTATATATACCTTTAGTATTTGAAAGGATTATAGAAATATAATGCATTCTTTTAAAATAACATTTGATAAATAAAACTTTTTTTTGGAATTGAATTTTGATATTGATTTTCAAATGCCAGTTTTAAATCATTAAGGTAAACCTAAAGTGGAAATGTTATTGATAAAGCTCAGAGCTGCACTGTGTGAAATAATTAAATTCAAAAATATTTATAAATGTTTCTAATCACGGGTCACTAACCTCTTTACTACTAATTTTAAATTTCTTAAAATCTCCAACACAGGTAAAGTTTGACATCTGGGTATTTTACTGTGTATAGGGATTAGGAGACAGATGACCACAGGTAGACTGCTAGCTCTCAAGGCATTCACACCTGAACAAAATAAGCCCCTCCCTCACATGAAATTTACCACCCGGTTAAAAAATCTCTGCCTTTAAGATTAAAGTATAACATTAAACAGTAAAACAATAAATCAATCATACCATAAAATACTCCACCATTATCTTCAGACCTTCCATCAGATTTTTCAACTTTCTTTCCTTCCATGTCTATTGCTATCATTTCAGATTTATATGATGTTTCCTGTTCATCACCAGGCATGTTTTCAGTTTGACTTAATCTTTCCATTTCAATCCGATTCGTTTTGTTCTTAGTCAATCCAGATGAAGATTTAACTGCTGTGTCTTCCAAAGCAGACAACTCTTTCTTTTGTTGTGTTTGTGTAGGCATTCCATCATTTCGACGTTTTATTTTTAAGGTACCACAGTAATAGCCTGTCCCGACAACACGAACCACTTTCCCCCACAACTCTGTAAATGAAACAGAAGCCGATTGGGATTTCTTTCTTTCAATAGACAACGATTGAGTAAAGATACAAAAATTGAAGGATTACACACTATTTAATGTACATGTATATTCAAGCCACCCGAGCCAGTCTGGCCAAGCGCAAATTTCAAGATGATGTCAAAATCATTCATTTTATATTTTTATCACATGTCCATGGTCATACTTTGTTTTTCTTTATCACATGTTCAATGATATTTATGCATAAACTTTAACTTATCTAATTTTCAAAATTTTAAAACAATACAATATTTTTTACGAGCAAAATAAGCACTTTGTATATTCAGCCTGCTAAACCCAGTGAGGCGGGTCTAGATTTATAACAACGTCATGAATAGAAATATCCTATTTTTGTCATGGAACAGTGTATTTGAAATTTGAAAAGTCATAAATACAAATTACAAATCACTGAACTAAAGATATTCCAATAAATTCACATTCTTTGAATACATATTTTACGTTTGATGAAATTTCAACAATATTAAATCAAAAATTCTTTGATTGTAGGCTGTCCGATTCGCATAGCCGACGTAGCTTTTTTTGACCATTTTTGAAACTAAATTCTTGCGGTTTTCTCTGAATATTTTTATTTTGAATTTTGAAAGCGATACTTAAGGCATCAAACAAAATCGAAAACCACTTTAATTGTAATATATTCAATTTTTAATTTAGCTTTAAGTAGTTTTATTAAGAAAATAATTATTTTGATCGGACAGGGTTCTCCATTTTTAAAAATTTAACAACGGAAAAATTTGCGTGAATGCCAAATGAGTCCCAAAAACCCTGTCTTGTGTTCAATTTTCAATGTAGTGATACATATCTTCAATGAAAAAAATATAAATTTATTTATTAATGAATGAACTTCAAATTAAATGCAAAATAAAATGCTTAAATGCGTTCATACTGATGTCTTATAATTTGCTTTCAACAGGTAATTTCGATATATCTGCACTCTGAGTCTTTTTAATTTGTTTTATACAAAATTTATTGTAAATTACACGTCATTCAACCTAATGAAATTATATAAAGAATAAGAATGGGGATAATGAATCCTTCTTACAGCAATTTCTCACGTTTCTATCATAATTTGCAATCATTTTTTTTAAGTTTGAAAGCGTACCCTTTTTATATGATTCTCGAGAAATATCTCCTTCAGTTTCAAAGACATGGAAAGGTGGCGGAAGTCTCTCACTATTTTGAAAATCCTATTACATGTGATAAGAATATCAGTTATTATTAGAAATGGATAACAAATGAAACTTTCTTCAAAATATTAACTCTTAACTGTTACAATTGTAATAGATTTTTAAACAGAAGTAACAATTTTTCAAATAACTTGTAATTTGAACTTTTGTATAAATTACATAAATGGTATATTAAATTAAAGATGCAAATTAGTTTAAGTGGGCTATACAGACCTCGGTTGGTGTTAAGGTTTTTGACAAGTTTTCATTTTCCTCATTAACCTCATCCTGAAAAAAATTAAATTATTGTCTATTAGTGTTGAGACTGTGAGAGAACTTATAATAATACATCGAAATCTTAGATTTGTAACTTATCATTAAAGATCTTACTTTTTCTTGAGCATTTGCTAGCGTTTCTCTAGATTCTTCGTCACTTTCATCCTGTTCATTCTCTTCCGCGAGTCTTAGATCAGAACCAATACCCCCTGATAATGACTATAAAAAAACACCCAGAGCAATGCATTTTTGTAGTATTAAAATATTGAACAAAAATAATTTTAATTTAAACTTTCATTTACATAGATATTTTTTATTTACTGCACAAAAAATCTCTAGTCATCTTCATATTCTAGGGATTTTTTTTTAAAAATATCTTCAATGGAAAATGCACAATGAATCTACAAATGTGTTATATAATTTATTTTTACATCTTTCTCAATTGTTTAATTCTTGATTCTTGATTTACACCTATCGAAGGATTCTTTGACCAAAATGAGACATCAATCATGATATCATATAGATACGATATCGACAAAC